CAATCAGAGAGTTTGCCCAGACTTTTCCCCTTTGACAGGGAAAAGGCTCACAGGTAATTTCTCTTTTAGTTATTGAATTTCATTAATTCCTTCAACACAATTATTATCAAGTGCTCCCACAGATATTTGAATGAGCTGCATGGTAGGTATGAAAATTTAAGAAGAAAGGGATTTATTAAGTATGTTTGTTTTGAGTGACAGGGAATTTCCCTAGAGTAATTTTGATACACCATTCCCTATGGAAGTTGACACATTGGCATTGACTTGCGTAACACTGTTATAAAAGCTAACAATAACATTAACATTAACATGCAAGAAAATGCAAATGGTATCTACTCTAGTGGAAATGTTTGAGGGAGGTATGCTGTACAGATGAATTTGCTTATAAGCTGAATTATTCATCACCATGTTATCCATTTTGTGCAACATACTTCCCTTCCCTTTATTTCTTTGCAGGTTTGCTTCAAGGGAAATGTGCCACTAGGCAAACAGGAAATCCTGCAAACGACAGTCGAGGGTAAGAATTGTCTTTATGAGGTTTATGGTAGGTTTTCTAGCAAAACTTGTGAACAAAATTATTATCTTAGAAGACTTAAAATGCTCTTTATTGCATCACCTCAATAATGAAGTGGTGGTAAAATCCATTACCAATGCCTGAGTTGATTGTTAAAGGGATTAAACCATCATCACTTTTACTGACAGATGAAGACCACCAAGATCATTATAAAAAGGAAAGAAGAATGGAAAAAAGAAGAAAAAAGGAAAGGAAAGAGAAAAGAAGAAGCAAAAGAGTGAAGAGAAAAAAGACGCAAGAGCAGATAAAGATGGAGAATGTAGAAGAGAAGATGCCAGCATGGAAGGTGAGGAAGGAGAAAAGGTAGAAAAAGAAGAAATAAAGGAAATCAATGCCAAAGGGGAAAAGAAAAAAAAGGGAAAAAAGAACTGGCTGCCAAAGGAAGAAGTTGAAGAAGTAGTCAGATGTTGGATAATGTAAGGATATTATGGGGAGAAGTTACTTGTTAATCACTTATAGAAGTTAAAGGGTGAAAAAAATTAATGGAAGTTTTTAACCCTTTAACTCCTGGTGGTGATTCACATAAAACTTCTACCTACAATATCCATACATTCTCCAGCAAACAGGTAAAGAGAATATTAAAACTTATCAGGTAGGAGCTGCTATCTTGATCTAGCACCAAGTTCTCATAACTAATTCACAAGGAAATGTGTAGCAGCTACAGGGGAGGATTAACAATCAGATCCTGGGAGTTAAAGGGTTAAACTAGTTTGTAGTTTAATTATGTGAATGTTTGTTATTCATTAAGTATTTAGTGGTTATGATTACTCAGTAAGTAATCATGCATGTTTATAAATTTGAGTATTCTTGTTACCTATTTGTTGGATAACATAAGGATTTTATGGGAAGAAGTTTCTTGTTAACCTTTTAACTGCCACAGTGACCCAGACAGAATTTCTCCCTACAATATTAATACAATATCAACCAGATAAGTGAAGAGACCAAAGAAGAATATCAATTTTGGGTTAATTAGTTGATCAATACTAAATTCTCTGACCTAACATCATAAGAATTGTATGGTTGATAGTAAGGAGAATTAAAAATTTAATCTGGGAGTTAAAGGGTTAATCACTTCAAGGGTGAAAAAATTAATGCAAATTTTTAAACTAGTTTGTTGTTTAATTATGTTAATGTTTGTTATTCATTAAGTATTTAGTGGTTATGATTACTCACTAAGTAATCATGCATGTTTATAAATTTGGATCAAAGAAAAATATAAATTATTGTTGTTGTGCTGTATCACATTCAACAGATGTAGAGCAGTTGTTAATTAAAAGTTAACTCTCAATCTTTTGGAACTGTTTCTTAATTGTCCCCTCAAGCTGCTACACAATTCCTTGTAGATAGCTTATGCAAATTGGGTATTAGATCAAGATGACAATTTCTACCTGATAAACATGAGTATTCTCATTACCTATATGTTGGATAATGTAAGGATATTCTGGGGTGAAGTTTCTTGTTTATCACTTCTAGGGGTTAGAGGGTTAAAAAATTAATGCAAGTGTTTAAAATAGTTTGTATTCTAATTATGTTAATGTTTTTTTAATCCATTAAGTATTTAGTGGTTATGATTAATCAGCTGGTAATCATGCGTATTTATCAATAATGAATTTTAATAAATTTTGCAAATAACATGTGCACTTTACAATGGCATGTTGAAAGTTATCTTTAAATGTGTGGTAGAAAGGTAACGTCAAAGGAGGATAGCATTTGTTAGACACTATCATACACCTGGTTCAACAATAAAATGAATGTCCCATCCCTTACCATATCTCTTTTAAATATTCTGGTGATTGCAAGCTTAAGGACTAGGACCACAAGAACCGTTCCAGGTGCTCACTTCTTAATCTGCGTTTAAAATCTAGATTGAGTAACAAAGTTTAAAAGAATCGTCCAACTGGTTGCATGAGGAAACCATTCAATAATTAATTGTTCTCTGTCCAAATGCTGTTTTAAACTTAAGAAAAAACATGAAACAGGAAAAACCAAATATTTTTTTTTAATTTTTCTCTTCACCATAGTTTTTAATATTATCTTTTCCCCTTGATAATCTTATATCAAGCATGATCTGCACTTCCCCCTCCTCCCTCCCCCTGCCAGAAAAATCTATATCGAGCTCGGTTGCCCGGGAACAAATATTATTCAGCTCGGTCGGACGCGAGCTCAATTTGATCGAGCGCGATTACCAAATCAAGCTCGATTTGATTCGAGCTCGATTACAAAGGTTGTGACTCGAGCTCGGGTAGGCTTTCGAGCTTGAGTCACTTACGTCGAGCTCGGTTGCTCAGAATCCTTCTAGTCGAGTTGTGACTCGAGCTCGGATAGGCTTTCGAGCTCAAGTCACCTATTTCGAGCTCGGTTGCCCAGAAACAAATATTGATCCCAGCAGGCAATAAAATCAGCCTAGGACCTACCGTACATGAGGTAATTATTTTGTTTGCTTGTGATAGGTAGACCAGCATTGCTAAAATGCACTGATCTCTTACTGTAATAGGCGAGTTTCTAAGGGTTTAGCAGTCACAGTTGTGGTTTTGTAGCAAATTCTGATTAGCAAAAAGTTTTGTGAAGAAATGCTGCTTTCAGTAAATTTCAATTATCATAAAGTATTAAATGAATATTACACTTTTACAACCCTGGAATGCAGCAATTATTATTTAATTTCAGGGTTGTAAAGTGGCATCCAATGATAATAGTGGTGAGAAGATCAGTGTCGATTTGAGTTTGCTTAAGGATTAATCCAAGATCTATAGGTCAGAACCTGTATCTAAGTATCAAACTGCGGTAAATGAAGCTGCCTATGAACTCTGTAAAAAAGATGGTTCACTGCTGTTGAACAAGGGAAAATTATTTGAGCTTTCTCGCAAGAAAGTCAATGAAGATGGTTATGTTTATGCCAAGAAAGAATCAAGGTCAAAGTACTATGGTGGCCATTCCACTGCAAGGCCAAAGAGAAAGTACACAGGGGAAGAAATCAGAAAATCTGGAATTGATGACATCAATGAGTCAATCTCATCATTAAAGGAAACAATTGACCTCCTTGCCCAACAGAAGAAGCAGTATGTAAATAGTGAAAGGTTTCTTCAGGCTGCAGATGTAAATAACACAATTCTTGAGAAAAACAAAAAGAAGAGAGAGTTGGAGAGAGAGCTAGAACAGTTGGAGAAAGCAGAGGGCCGATCTAAAGAGTACCAGAAAAAGAAAAGGGAGAACAAAGAGAAAGCAGAGAGGAAACCAGGGAGGAATATTGCAGCATCTTTAACAAGTAAAGCAGGAAGCAGCACTGAAACTTCTGGGAGGTCAAGCAGTGTAAGTGGTGACACAAATATTTTATCAGAGGATGAAGGCACAAATGTACCACCAACTGGAGCTACATGTACTCCTGTCTCTCTGAAAAGGCAACAGGCATTTCAAAATTTACGGAACGACCCACAGGTCTATCGTAAACCTACGAACACGGGCCTTTTACTTCATTTTCAAAGTCACACCGATTTGCGCTACAAGAAGTGTCTTATCAAAACAATGGTTCATCGTGCAAAGGAATTGTCCTCTATGCATCAAGCATTCGTCGATGAGTGTAGGCATCTAAAATCTATGTTTCATCGCCTTGGTTACCCTAGTTCTTTGGTGAACTGTATTATCGACAAATGTGATTATTCCTCTACACCAGAAACTAAGACAAAATCTGATGGAACTTTAAGAGTCAGTATTCCTTTCAAAGATCAAGTCTCAGCGAACATTGCCAAAAGACAAATGCGCGATCTCAGTTAAAAAAATCGGCATTGATGTACAACCAGTCTACACCAGTAAGAAACTTGAGCAGGACCTAAAGCTTAAAGAAATCAAGCCATGCATCGTAAGTCAGCATAGCGTTGTTTACTGTTTTAAATGTGATTTGTGTGATTCAAATTACGTCGGATATACGACGCGCCATTTGTTTCAACGCATTGCTGATCATCGATACTCTGCCATTGGTCGCCACCTGAGAGATGCCCATGGGAACATTGACTTACTCAATGAGAGCCAGTTTAGAATGCTTAAAAAATGTGGCACGAAATGGGATTGTCTTGTTTATGAAATGTTGTACATAAGAACAATAAGGCCCAATTTAAACACCCAGAGCGATTCCATTAGGGCCAAACTCTTTGTTTAACTTTTAATGCTTTGTAATTTATTCACCGCTTCATTATATATATACTCGATTTTATTATTCTAGTTCACTTGATAATGACGTTCTGGAAACGTCGTGTTATGTTTTATAATATTTTATCGCAGATTTTTATTGTCAAATGCTTGACCCACAGTAACAGGTGAAAATGAAAATGTTACTGTGGGGGATGAAAACGACCTACATGAACAAAGATGCCTGGATAAGTATGCAAAATATGTGAAGCAAAATCTGACTGATGGATGTAAAGTAACAGAAGACATGTATGTAACCCATTTGAAAGACATTAAGTTAAACGAGTATGTTGTTGCTGTTAAGAAGTATTGTTCAATTTTCCATGTGGCTCAAGAGTGTTCCAAGTGTGAGTTGATTTTGAAAGTTGCTGGAGATTTAATGGACAGTGGAATTGTTCCATTACCTGCCTTATACAGGAAGCACTTCAGATCTACCTACAAGTCTGATAAGGCTATAAGACGAGTGATTCAACTTCCAGTGGTTATATTCAGAGCATTTGGACAGTTGTTTGTGACTGAATATGTTGAAGATGTTGATTTTACAAAGTTAGCAAGTTGTGTTTCACATTTTGTCCCAGAGGAAAGTCTAACTTCAGGCATGAGCAGGGAAAGTCTTAAAGTCCTTTGTGAGTTAGCCAGCAGTAAAAAAGGCAGAAGGCTTATTCGTGTGGCTGCAAGCCATGGCCAGACAGGTAACCAAGCACGAAAGTCCATGGGGATTTCTAACTTGCATGAAGAAAGGGAAAGGGTCAAAGAGGCTGTTAAGGAGTACGAAGAGATCAAAAAAGCTGTAAATGAAATTGCACAAGCCAGAGAAGGTGCCTTGACTTCTTTCATTCCAACTGCTTCTTCAGACTCATCAGATTCTGAGTATTCTGAAGGTAGTGATGGAGAATCATGTGAATGGAGTAGTGGGACTGAAGAAGCAAGTGCTTTGAGTGGCCAGAGGATTTGTGATGGGACTGAAGAAGCAAGTGACATGGAGGATTTGAGTAGAAGAGGGGTTTCTGATGGAACTGAAAAAGCAATTGAAAAGGAAGGTTTGAGTAGAAGAGTGGTTTCCAATGGACTTGACAGTGATGGTGTGGGTTACAGTGGGGTTTCCAGGAAGAAGAATGTAGAAGATTTAAGTGGAAAGGAGGCATGCAATTACAGAGAAGATTCTTCAGTGTTTTACCCAAGTTATGAGCACCTTCTTTTGGTTCTCCGTGAAAACAGCTTGAACTAGTTATCTTTTGTTGAAGAGCTGAAACTAACTCTCCCTAACATCACAAAGGAGGCATTGGATCAGTTGCTGATGGATTTTGTTTACTTCCTGTCTTCATTTGACCTTACACCTTAAGAAGACACTGTTGTTGAGCAGTCAAGACAGGCATATCTTGCACAAAGACGTCAAACAGAACGAGAGAATGCAGAGGTTACTACAGACTCTGAAAGTGATGACCCCGAAGACTGGGTCGAATTGCGCCAAGCCAAAACTATGAACAAAGATATGCAGGAGAAAGTCAAGAAGCAACGTCAAATTTTCAAGAAGTATAGGAAGCGCCTTATTGCCAAAGAGGTTACAAAGCGTTGCCTTCTTAGAAGAAGATTGCCCAAACGTGTAAGCAGGACTTTGCAAAAGTATCCAGATATTGGAACTGATATAGAGGAATATGCTCGTGAGAATCGTGTAGGAGCAGATTCTTGGAGACGTACTGGGGTCTTGACCTTTACAGGAAATGCACGAAGAAGACCTAAAGTCACATACAATCGAATCAAATCCCTCCTTGAGAAGAAATATGGCACAAGATTTGGCTATGGGACAATTGTGCAGTTGTGTTGTGCTAGAAATAAAAGAAGGCTTTCTGCAAAGAGATATTTTGGAGCTGCAAAGATAGTGTCCAGACGTGCTCGTAAAGGCTTTTCAATTAAACTTAACGTTGATGCCCATTGGAGCTGTGCTTTTTACAAGGGTTTGGATTATCTGCAGCATAAGGGTGGTTTAAATATGACAGTCCTTAATAGGGATGATGCAGCTGGCTTTCGATTGGATAGTACATTTACACACAAGCAGCACAGGGTTCTTTCTGAAGCTGGGAAACCTGAACTCACCACCTACACTGATTTTCTGAACAAGTACACATCAACTCTTCAAACCTCATCGTATATGTTCCTGGAAACTGAGTCCACCCCAGAAATTTGTGTTGGAGTTGTCAAGGCTCACAATGTACATGAGAAGAATCCAGCACAGCATGCTGCTGACCTTGAAAAGCTGGGAGAGTTTGAGGAAACTAAATCGGTATTGGCAAGAGAGATAGAGTGTGTCCGTGTTGATGGGGCCTCAGATGAGGGACCGTCACATGCAGAAGTTCAATTTATGTGGACAGAGAAACACATCAACCATGGCAAAATATGCACCCTTGTCACTTCCAGATTTGCTGGTGGAAGCTATCTGAATGAGGTGGAATTGCAAAATGGGTGTTTGGCCCTTGGACATTCGAATTTATTCATTCCTTCGACAATTAATGGCTCAAACTTTGACAGTAACGGGAAAGTGGATATGGCCAAATTGAAGGCAAATTTACAAGCAGCAGTTGACGTTTACATAAGTGTTGTAAATGGTGCCCCTTGTGGTGGTAAACCCATTCACTTAATTAGAGGTGCTGAGGACAACCTCAATCAGAAATATCAAGAGAGAAGACAGAGGCTGCGCATTTTCTTACGGGGTAGCAACAGGCAGAAAGCAGAGCTGAAGGAAAAGCATCCTGAAGAACACAGAGTATTTTGCTAAGGTGTGGGGTGTTAGGGCACGCCATATGGTCCCCAATTTGCCTGTGCATTTATGCTGTTACCCTGCTACAAGAATGATTGTGTCCATCCCATTTGTGTTGCTGGTCGTCCTGATAAAGAGTCATTATGGTTTGTTGGTGGACCACTTTTGTCTTACCTACCCTTACCCTTACCCATACCTGATCCACACCGATCATGGGGTAAGGAGTGTGAAATTTGCTTTGGATCTTGTGTTGGACATTATCTGTCAGCTGAGAAACGGTGGGAATTTGTGAAGGCGAATGGCCCTGGTTCTAGTGTTCTTCCGCCGAGAGAAATTCTTAAAGAATTTGCCAAAGAAGTTGATGGGTTTTCTGAGGAAGATGTTCAGTCCTTTGCCAGTGTCTTCTCCGTGAAGATGATGTACGAATGTGGTTATCAAAAATTCAAAGTCGTAGAAAGAATGCTGCGGCAAAGAACAAGCAGACGGCAGCCAGGAAAACCAAGAAGAAGGGGAAGACAAACAGAAATGAACAAACAGACAACAGTAAGTTTTAGATGCAAAGGCTTTTATTGTATGTTCTGTTTCAGACACTTTAACAACTTGCTGTATTCATGTTAAAGAGGCTAATTAAATTTTCTGAAAGCTTAGAAATGCTTAAAAAAGGAGTGACTTTTTCAATGTCATGCAAGGCTATAATAATTTGAGTTAAAACGTATTAACCTTCCTTGCTTTGTTTTTAAAAACTTGCTTCAGGGTTATTCTGTTCTCAGCAGTTATTTACAAGAAGACTTGCTTTAATATGTTTTTTGGTGTTTTGGTGATAGGCCACTAATCACTATTGCTCCTATTTCTCCAGCACATACTGAGGACACAGATGATGTACACTGCCTCTGCATGCAACCTTGGGGTAATAGGTAAGAGGGATTTCTTAGAAATTTTTCAGTTACATTCATTGGAAACTTCAAGGAGAACAAAAACACTGTTAAGGGTTTGTCCTATGATGCTTTTCTGCAAAAACAGTCAAAGTCTGGCTTTGTGTCACATTCCAGGCAATGTCAAACCACTGTGCTCTTAGATAATATTGATGCCAAAATAATTGTTTATCTTTATTCAGGTTCATGATCCAGTGTGATGTTTGTGGAACATGGCACCATGGCTCTTGCGTGGGGGTTTCTGAAGAAGATGCGGATGCGATGCCTGAGTATTATTGTGATATGTGCTCCACTTGAGCATTATTGAATTTTGATAGGTTTATCATTTATGATATGCTGTCAATAGATCAGAAATGCTCATCAACATTGTTGTAAATATTCGGTTTAAGTCCAAAAAGTCAGCTGAACAGACATCGTGTATTACACTGTATTTTGGTTAACATTTTTTTGTGTAATTGTATTTAGCTGTACCTTATTACATGAAATTTTCGCGACATGTTAATTTCGCGAATTTCGCGATTTGAAAAAAATCGCGAAAATTAAGTGACGCGAAAATTAAATGTCGCGAAAATAACATGACACGAAAATTAAGTGACTCACTATATGTCGACAATTTAAAAAGTGACTTTATTACACTATAAACGTTCATAACAATATCTATTCTGAAGTAATGTTCTGGTCCTCTTCATCACTACTGCTTTCCGTCTCCTCGTCATGATCAGGCAGCATATCTTTTGTACAGTCCTCAAACTGTCCATTCACTGGCTCCTTGTAATGCTGTTCTACCAGTTGTTTGAACCTTTCAATTGCTTCAACGTTCTTCGTAGATGCCTCCATTCTTACTGTCGCCTCTACTGGAATCTCCAAGCCTCCTTGTATGAGTGGCGATCGTCGAAAGTGTGCGTCTTTTACTGTCACGAAGACATCTGCGCCTCTTGAAATAAGAAATCTTGTAAAGTGACTGATCTCACGTGGTAAATGACCGAGTGTTACATTCGATAGTTGTCCAGGAAGCAATTTTGTCGCAGCTATTGCATATCGATCGTGTTGGTTGTTTCTTTCATGGATGCAGGAAAGAACGTCTCCAACCTTAGGTTTCCAAATCTCTTTATAAACGTGAAAGCCTCTCAGGTCGCAGGGAAGTAATATTGGAGAGTACCAGAAACTGAAGCCATCACCAAAATCAAAGTGTCTTACTCTAGCAGGGTTCAAGGTTTAAACATCTAAGGTATTTCCGGTTTTTTGACAGCTGACGATCACATATCCCTGCCGACCACGTGAAATCATTGTGCATTTACAGTATTCTACAACTACACGTGTTTTCTGTAGAAATTACACATGAGCGTTCGTCTACTACCATTACATGTCTTTGTTTCAGTTCGGCTTCTCTCTCAGTAGAGAAGAACCTTCGCCTGAAGATTCGGTGGAGGTAGAAATACTTGAATCACATATACCGAGGCAGGAGGATACAAATTTAGGAGTGGTTGAACACAGGGAAACTGAAGCCGCAGTTGTAAACCTTTCAAGACCCGCCGAGATTTTGCAACCAAATCAACATCCTAAGAGAAAAAGGCGAAAATATTTTCAATACAGCGGCGAGGATCGCGTAAAAATTGGGAAGTTCGCAAGTGAAAATGGAAACAAAAAAACCCTAGAACACTATTGAAGAATTTCCAGCCTTAAAAGAAAGCACAGTGCGTGCCTTTAAAAAGGCATTTCGAGAGGAACTTTCTGCGCAAACAAGACAAGGAAACGTTCAACTGGTTACGTCCCTTGAAACGCAGAAACGTGGGTGACCACCGTTCCTTCTCGAGCTGGACAGCAAACTGATCGCATTCTTAAAAAACCTCAGGTCCAGAGGTGGTGTAGTGAACGGCAGCGTCGTTTCAGCTGCTGCGAAAGCACTGATTAGCAGCAATCCGTCAATGCGTGACAAGTACCTCTCATTTACACCCACACAAGGATGGACTCAATCTATTTACAAGCGTTGCAACTTTTCCCGGCGTGCAGGCACAACAACCAAGCCACCAGTTCCAAGAGGAGTTTACGATGAATGCAAGCTCACTTACCTGTCGGACATTGACAATTGCATCAAGCAACACAATATTCCACCAGAACTTATTCTTAATGCTGATCAAACACCGAGTTCTTACGTATCAGTGGGTCGAATGACCATGGCAGCAGCAAACTCTCAGTCTGTACCAATCAAGGGTTTGACAGATAAGCGTAACATTACTCTAACATTTGTGATTTCTTTGTCTGGCGAATTTCTCCCTTTGCAAATTATATACCAGGGTAAAACTAAGGCTAGCCTTCCTCGGAACTTTAGTTTTCCCAAGAGCTTTTGTGTCAGCCAAAACCCAAAGCACTATTCAAACGAGGCAGAAACAATAGGCCTTATTGATTCTGTAATCAATCCCTACGTAGTAAAGAAACACAAGGAACTTGGCCTTCCACGATCTCAAAAGCGCTTCTTATCTGGGATGTCTTCAGAGGTCAGAAAACGCAGCAGGTTTGCTCGAAGCTCTCTTCGCTGAATATAGAAGTCATTTCTGTCCCAGCTAACATGACACATTTTTTTCAACCCTTGGATCTAACGGTCAATGGACAGGCCAAGAAGTTTTGCAAGAACAAGTTCGCGACGTGGTATTCCGCAGAAGTCCAGAAACAAGTGGATAGTGGAATAAATTTTGAAGATGTCGATGTTGATCTCAAACTATTGGTCCTTAAACCAATCCATGCCACTTGGTTGGTAGAGTTGTATAACTTTTTCACCAGCACTGGAGAAAGTTTATGTTTTGAAAGGATGGGAAAAAGCTGGAATAAAGGATGTTTTAAATGGAAAAGAAGTGCTACCCCCTGTTGATCCGTATCAAGACATTTACGCAAACAATTAAACGGCATCAGTCGTGCAACTAAACGGCAACATTTTTTTCCTCGGAGTTAGCAGAAAGGAATATTTAATGTAGTGGATATTAAGGTCAATGGACCAGTAATAACGTGACTTGCATTCAAGCATGGGCAGGTACATACCGTGCCTTCTAGACGCTGTGAGAACATCTTTCTTGTTGCTGTTTACATAATCAGCTGCGTTTCTGTTTATTTGGACATTGTTGATTAAGTTGTTTGATCAAATTTTCAAGGACATGTAAAATAACATTGACAAAGAAATAAATTGTGTCTCACTCAAAAACGCGAAATTAAAGTGAGTCAAAATGCAAAATTTTCGCAAAATCGTGAAAATAAGGTGTCGCGAAATTAACATGTCGCGAAAATTTCATGTAATAAGGTACATTGAAATTTGCATTGTTACGAACATGTAAGCACTATTAAAACATGACATTTCGTTAAGGGTATAAAGTACTGTTTTCTTGTCAGGTTTCAAGCTGCTCAAGGTGATTCCCCTCAGGGAGGGGAACTTTGATTCCTCTGTGTCCCCACCTAGGGGGGGAAAATAAGAACTTTGACAGGGTCCTTTACAAAGTCCCCACCCTTGCCCGGGGTCCCCCCCCCGGGGATGGCCGATGATAGGTGCATTATCGGAAGCTTCGTGATCTCCCAGTTATTGTGCAAGCTTCTACAGCAGGACAATGCATTTTTAAAATGTTTTATCGGCGTTTTCTTACCCCGCATTTTATTTGAGAAGCAGCGTATTTCTTTCGATGTTTATTGCCAGTTCACATTTTTTGTTTTGAACCAGGCCTATATCATATATGTTTTTGCCTTGCCTCTTATGTTATTTTTGGCCTTGGTATTTCTTTTACACTGTGCTTTCACTTTACCATTTGAGTGTACAACCCTTTCTGACCATCCCCTAATTTAGGGGAAAGTGTCCAATGCACTCGGTACTATGATAAAGCGTTAGCTTATTGTTCTGTATTGTGCAGTTTCAGCACACTTGTTTGTTGCACTTGGCGTTTTTTGTGGCTACCTGCTCTCTCACTTTTTTGATTTGCTATGATCTTTTTAATTCACGTATGTACAACATCCATACTTGTAATGGTTTACAACTGATACCTTTGCTGTTCATCTGAACACAGCCGGATTTCCATATCTTAGGCAGTGTTCACACTTGGTGCCCACGCCAGAATTCGGGCACGGTGCCAGTGCCCGAGTACAAGGTCTCGACCTTGTACTTGGGCACTAAACTGGGCACTGAGTCCTTGTGTGAACACATTTTTCGTTGGTGCCCTGGCACTTTACCCACAAACCACTTGTTTTCGTACCCACAATTCCTTGTCCCACTCGAGATTTCAAAATGGCGTCTGACGGTGCAAAGTGGAGTCAGGATGAAACTAGTGCACTTATAGATGCTTTCAGTGATGCAAAGACGTCAGCAGAGCCCATGACGACAAACGAAGATTTATATTCCTCAATCAAAGGCCTCCTTGAGCGAAACAATGACATCCACATCTGAAGACTAAGACCATTACTCTTCGCCCAACCGCCCTATGGTACACTGAGGAAATACGATCTGAAAAGAGAAAACGCAGAGCTCTCGAGCGGTGCTGGCGTTCTTCAAAACGAGAATCGGATTATTCTAGATTTAAGGAACAATGCCTTAGAGTGAACGCTTTGATCAAGAAAACGAAAGTTGACTATTACTCAGGCATTATACGGGAGAGTAGTAATAATCCCCGAACTCTTTTCAATACGGTAAATAAGCTCCTACATAAGCGCGTGCCAGCGGAGTATCCTTCAGGGTGTGCGTCTGATGGTGATCTTGCTAACAAGTTCATTGACTTCTTTAGTGAGAAGATTACAGTTCTGTGAGACTCACTTGACTCCACATCTGATATTGTTGTGGAGTCTGATGGCATTGTCCATCAGTGTGCTTTGTCATGTTTTAAGTCTGTAACATCGTCTGATGTCTCGGAATTACTTAGTAAGATGACCATCAAATCCTGTCCTCTTGATCCCGTCCCTGCTTCTGTTTTGAAGCAGTGCACATCAGGTCTTTTGCCTGTTATGACTCAAATTGTAAATCAGTCTTTATGTCTAGCTGTTTTTCCAGACTGTTTTAAGCTTGCATTGTTGAATCCTCTTCTCAAAAAGCCCACACTTGATGTTGAAGTTTTTTCGAATTTTCGTCCTATCTCAAATTTGACGTTCATGTCTAAACTCACTGAGAAGGTGGAGGCATCTCAGTTGATTAATCACATTTCTAGTAATGGACTTGATGAAATACTACAATCTGCATATAAACAATTTCATAGTACCGAAACAGCTTTAGTTAAAGTTTTTAATGATATTATCCTAGACGTTGATAGGAATAGGACGGTTATCTTACTTTTATTAGATCTATTGGCCGCTTTCAATACGGTCGATCACGCTATACTGATTGAGAGATTAGCAAACCGCTTTGGTCTTTGCGATCTAGCTCTGGCCTGGTTTAAATCATACCTGAGCGACAGAACTCATTTTGTGAGCATTTGTGGTGCGCAGTCTGTCATGTGTTTGCTGTCGTGCGGAGTACCACAGGGCTCCGTGCTTGGACCGATTTTATACCTGCTCTATACCTCTCCATTGGGGGATATTGTCAGACAATACAACATGGGCTATCATTTCTATGCTGATGATACTCAGTTGTATCTGTCTTTCAATTCTCTCAGTGGGGATGATCAAGCTTATTCTGTCTCTCAGGTTGAATCTTGTGTTAGAGATATCGACCGTTGGATGTCTTGTAACAAACTTAAGTTGAATAGGGACAAGACGGAACTGCTCGTTATCAGTTCAAAATATCGGCCACACCCATCTTTAGATAGTATCCTGATTGGTGATCATCGTGTAGAGCGGTCTGACAAAGCTAGGAACATAGGAGTTGTTTTTGATGAGACCTTGTCACTGGATAAGCATGTGAGTTCCGTTTGTAAATCTGCTTTATTTCATCTTCGGCATATCGCTAAGATTAGAATGTATCTGACTTTTGAGAGCACAAAGACCCTTGTCCATGCTTACGTTACTTGTCGACTGGACAATTGTAACTCGTTGCTCCTCGGGTCACCGGACTATATTATTCAGAAGCTCCAGTGCGTTCAAAACTGCGCCGCACGCCTTGTAGCTGGGCAACCTAGGGCTGCGCACATTCGCCCCGTCCTTAAGGAGCTACACTGGTTACCTGTGGAGCAGCGAATTACCTTTAAAGTATTACTGTTAACTTTTAAAGCTCTCAATAATCTGGCGCCTCTGTATTTAAGTCAACTTATAGTCCCATATAACCCTACAAGAAATCTTAGGTCTGCTGGCAAACATTTATTAGAAGTACCGAATGTGCGCCTGAAGAGCTATGTGGACAAGGCCTTTTCGGTCCCTGCCCCAAAGCAATGGAATGATATTCCCTTAGACATTAAATTAACTGGATCAGTTGATGTTTTTAAATCTAGATTGAAAACTAATCTTTTCAGACTCGCTTTCATTTGACTTTTTGTTTTAGTGTTATTGTTAGTTAGTTATTTTCTTTTTTGATTGTAAAGCGATATAGAGCTTTTGTATATACTCGCTTTCATTTGACTTTTTGTTTTAGTGTTATTGTTAGTTAGTTATTTTCTTTTTTGATTGTAAAGCGATATAGAGCTTTTGTATATACCGCTATACAAATAAAGTTATTATTATTATTATCCAAAGGACAGCGAAGCAGATAGAAACAAAGTTAAGGAAACTGAAATCCGGGTACAGCAAATTGAAAGATAGGATGAAAATATCAGGAGCAGAGCGACCGTATGATTCAAAAGCTCTTTCAAGCCAGGAGAAGGAAGCATTTCAGCACTGGGATAAGCTTGACCGTATTTTGGGTAGGTTGAGTTATGTTTGTGATTGTCAAGTTCAAGTGAAGCATTTGTGAACTTTGACCGCAACCTTTACATGTCATAACTTTGAAAATGCAAATATTTATATGGAGGGAAGTACCTGTTTATATATAGCACATGTGAAGATTTTAATATACAAAATTTCAATGGACTATTAAAATGTTAACAGATTTGAAGAGGAAAGAATTACTGTCATTATCTTCGTCATGGTTATAATCCTGATAAACCACTTCATTGGATAAAACACAAAAATAGCTCTTAGCCCTACTTTGGGAATTTTCCTGCCCCAAGTAAAACTTAAACTTTCTTAATTCATCATTTTCATACACAAGGTAAACCAAAACTACTCTGTTATATTTAGGTGGGATATCAAAACAGATCCTCTTTGATTTTTGTTATCAATAAAATGGTATGCTTGTCATCCAGGAACACACCCTGTTGAAGACCCTCCAGAGGAACATTTGCTCGAAAGCTCAACTACAGGAGAATGTGTGGATGCACAATCAAATGCTGAAGTAAGAGTAGCAGAATCAGGTACAGAAGAACCAACTGCCGTTATTGCAGCATCAGAACCAAATACAAGAACAAGTACAGCAGAAGCAAATTCTCAGGCTACTCATCCATCAAAAACACCAAAGAGAAAGAGTGGCAGGGCATATAAACCTAAGAAAAAACCTCACCTGTGCGATGTAGTGGAACAATCCAATGAGCAAATGAGACAGATGCAGGACTACATGCAGAATAATTCAACTACACCCGAGGCACGATCTAAAGAAAGAGAAGAAGACCGAGAATTTTTTCGCCACATGTTTGGTATGGTGTCGCAAACTATGATGGGCATGGCCGAAATGCTACTTCAAGGAGCTGGTCCAGGATATCATCCACCAAACCAGGTATATGCTCCTCAAAGTGTCCAGCCAAACTACAGTTTTCTACCCAGTGGCATGGGTTTTGGTTTTGGTTTTGGTTTTGGTTTTGATACTCCATCAGCAAGACCATCATCATCAAGCTCAGTTACAAGTGATCCATCATCAGTTGAAGAAAACGACTATTTTACCTTATAGAAACTATCAATGCAGGTGCATGTTTCATGACACTAATGGTGACTTTGTTGCTATGTTGAGTTGAAACGGTAATAATTCATTTTGAAGCAAAAACACACTTTTTGTCACGATGCATTTTACACCTTAAGTTTGTTTTGTTTTGGATTTACTAAGGCAGAAACTATAAGCGATTATTCGACCTTGGTCTCTATTGTTAGTTTGTTTGGGAAATGTACACAATTGTCTTTCCAGAAACAGAGCAATCAGTAATTTCTGGTTAGGCTGGTCACTTCAATTTTGTGTTTTATTTATTGAAACTCTGTCTATAATAAGTTGTTGAAAAAATACAATAACACTTTAATGGCAGGAATTCAACTGACAAAGGAGTGTGTTAATTTTCTGGGGATAAAATGTTAACTGTATAGTAAAAAGCAACTGCATAGCAAAAACAACTGTATAGTTAAAACACAACTCTATTTTCCATCAAAATAAAACACATTACGAATTTAACTATAGCATCTCAAAAAGTTGATGCGTGGAACTGTTTTCAAACGCTCATAAGTCAATATCGAAATACAGCTGAACTGTTAAATGGTCCTGGCTCGTCGTTAATTCCTTTTATTGTAATCCGAAAGTTAAACAAATATGAAACCATGCAGTTCACGTAACATGACTTTGGTGATCAGTCGTTGTACAAAAAATGAGCCAAGATATTCCTAATAATATTAGAATTGCTATCTGCGTCATCATCGTTCAGCGGATCGGGTCGAGGTAGGTCACCAATTGCATCTTCACCCAACCTGTTCCACTCTTCGAGGTAGCACTCTTTTCGCTCTTCACACATGTTGTGCAGGATACAGGCTGTTGTGGCATGAAGTACAACTTTATCGAGTTCGCATTCCAACGCCTTAAGCAGACATCTCCATCTCTCTTTAAGCCGTCCAAATGCCCTCTTGATCTGTATGCGGGTGTGACTGAGTCTATAGTTAAAATGCTCTTTCTCAGGTGTGAGATTGCTGCCTGGGTAGTTTTTCATTAGATGCTTGGAAATGGGGTAAGCTGGATCCCCAATAAGAAATGGCTCAATGACGTGGTTATCGATAACCCGTCGCAAATTTGAATCATCAGGAATCAGTCTTCCCTCTGTTATCAAATTTCCTATCTGAGAACGCCCAAACACCCTAGAATCGTGTGCTCGACCAGGCCAGCCAGCAAAGACATCAGTGAAGCAGCACTGGCTGTCACAAACACCTTGCAAAATAACTGAATGGAAACATTTCCTGTTATAATAGTCCCCATGGTGGACGAGGGGGGCTTTTATGGGTATATGGGTACCGTCAATGGCACCCAGACATTGGGGAAAATTCCACTTTCTCTGGAAACCATTTATGATTCTTTTGAAATCTATTCCTCTTTGTATTTTGCTTATGATGTGCATCTTGGAACTAACCAGGAGTTTCATAGCTTCGCTAACTTTAATGCATGCAGTAGAAGCACCGACTCCAAATTTGTCTCCGATCTCTCTGTAGTCCAGTCCTTTTCCCAGACGTTTCAGCAGCATCGCTACAACTGTTCGTACAGGTACAGGACTACGCAGTCTCGTTACCTGTCGCTGAAGGCTCCGCAAATCATGCGTCAACTGTTCAAACATATCTTTGGAGATACGATAACTTTCCAGCCATTTTCTGTCAGGAAAATGAAGGATTTCGTGTTCTAGAACATTCTGAATTCGTGGGATTTTCCATGCTGCTCTCCCTCCACTATCACTCATTTCTGCAAGGAATACATTCAACCTACTTGTAATGCTAGCGCAAACTTCCGTGACGATCCGAGATAATCTTCGCTTGTCGTCGTCATCCGCAGTGTCTCTTAAATGTTTCATGTAGAAACACAGCATTACAAAATTAAAAAAGCCATAAAAAACAGTAAGCAAGCAGATATACTGAACACGGAACAAACACATGTTGCGACTCGAACAATTTCTCAATAGTGAGCGTGTGCTCTGTTTATTGAATGTGAACATATCTTCAGACTGGGTACTGTGTGTCTGAACACAGCAACATTTTGTGCCAGTGCCCGGGTACTAGTGCCTGGGCACCAAGTGTGAACACTGCCTTATACTCGCGTCTTAAGCGTGGCCCCTCTCAGGCTATCGGTTTTTCACCAGACAACAATAGACAATAGAGTTGTCAGCACTGTCTGTAGCTATGTGCTTTATTAATTTTTGCCATAACACGGTAGATTTCGAGATTTTTTCTTATTGTCTTATGCTCCCATTTTTGTACATTCCCTTTGTAAGTTATGCCTCCTAGAAAACGTTCTGCTGTTGTGAATGACCGTCCTAAACGGGCCAAACGAACAAAGAAAACCAGCCCATCCGAGATAAGTGAAGTAACACCTCCACTTCCAGCTACGAGTTCCACAGCTAGCCATTCCCAGAATGTCAAGAACAGCTCCTTGGATGTCAGCTCTCTATCAAGCACCATTTCTGCCGCCGTTTCCGAAGCCCTTCAGGCTGCATTTCCTGGGGATAACATAGCTGCCAATTTAAAGAACAGTGTTCCTGACACCTCCAATCCTGTCTCCCCTTCCGTGGACGACGAAGTGCGTGCCATCACCGGGGACAATAGTTTCTCAGGTATCGGGGGCGTTCCTGCACAAGCTGGTTTGGCTGAACCACAACCCCAGCAGATTTTTACTGGTATTGTGGTGGGTCTTCCCGCCCGGGTTAGCGCTAAACTTAAAGCCAAAATATGGGCAAACGAATATGTAGACTTTGGGGCATTGCCTTTTTCCTCCCCTCAAAATGAAGGCAAATATTCGTTATCTATGACGCCTTCTGCTGGGCCGCAATGCTCGCCACAGTTCACGCTCGAGCCCTCACAATTCAACAAAAAGATTACTTCGATACATCAATGGGCTTCGGCATTTCATATTTTTGTCTCAGTCTATGCGGAGCGCTTCTCTAGCGAAACTCCAAGTTTAATGAAATATTGCGAAGTTGTACGAGATTTGGCTTTTAAATCAGGCGATTGGCTTTGGTATGACGAACACTTTTGTTATATCAGACAATCGAACCCAGCACTTTACCCATGGGACCAAATACACTGGGAATTATGGCTAAGAGCTGCCAATAGTTTTCGTAGGCCACAGTCATTCACAAACAAATTTCAGACTCAAACTCGTCAACGCTTTCGACCTCCCCCTTTTCCAAAGGGAACTTGCTGGGCCTTTCAAGCCGGGAAGCATTGCCCTGGCTGCCAATATGACCACTCCTGCTTTAAATGTGGAGCAAAACACCCAGGCAGTCAATGTGCCATTCAAGCAATCACACCCCATTTCAGAGGTAAGGGTAAAGGAGGTCCGACTCAAGCACTGGGTTCTACAAAGTCCCCCGGTTACCCCGGTAAAAGTGGATCGTCTTAAATTTTTCTGCACGGCTATGACTCCTTCTTATCTTATTGATGGTTTTCGTTTTGGTTTTCGAGTTCAGGGGTGGATCCAGGGTAGTTTACCTGATTTCCGGAACTCACTCAAATTTTTTCCGACCAAGTAAAATGTTGATAAAAGTACTTTTGGAAAACACTCTAATTTCCCTTTGGAAACTACTGATACTTTTGTGGAAATCACTAAACGTCTTCCAGAAATAAACCATCTTCCTGTTTTACAGTTATTTATTAAAGAAAATACGTTTAGAATGACTAATTTCGTTATAATTGCGGTCATGAGGCGTTCGGGAGCGCTCCGGATCACGCGCTGGCCTTTCGAGCTTCGATTACACCTCGGAAACCGTCGGAAGCCGTCGGAAAATGTTCGTGGAGCCAATCTTTACGCAACCGGTGGGTGTAAGTCCTTGTTATTTGGTGACAATAACAGGCGGAACACAGTCAAAACCCCTCACGATTGGCTAGCAAAGATTTCATCATCGGAACTCACTCAAAACACTCTTCTGATTGGCTAGTTGTGTTTGGAAACTACCTTGGAAACTACTGACAAAGTATAAAAGGGCAGTTCCTCCCCAGCGGGTCTCTTTCGTTGCTCCTACAATACAAGTACTTTTGAACTTGCTCAGGGGTTAACGACGGAATAACAATTTACTGTTAAACGTTTAAAAAATACTAGTGTTATGACTCATGGAGATCCTGTTTGTCAGAGGGAGGATTGTTCTCCCTCGACATTGGCCTAGTTTTTGACGAGATCCACAACTACTCGCCGCATCAGAAGCTGGAGTTCGTCGAAAACGTGTGGAAACCAGGTGAGCTTTTTGATTTCCCGTGTCAATGGAAAATGGAAAATCTCGTAAGTTTGTCTCGGGCTGGCTGAAAAGATTTCCATGGCTAGCTTACTCCAAATATTTCGATGGAGCATTTTGTTTAGCTTGTGTTTGTTTTGGAGTTCAGTGTGGGCGAAACGCTAATAAGTTAGACAAATTATTGAAGTCTCCTCTCACAAATTGGACTTGGCCGCTTCTCGCTTAACCAAACACTTTCGCTAGGAAATTGTGAAATTCACAATTTTTCTATGACTGCTATGAATGATTTCAAGAGAATGATGCAAAGAGGAGCTGTCCCAATTGACCAGCAGTTAAATAACATAGTTCAACAGCAAATCGCGAGAAATCGGGAGATTCTAAAGTCCCTTTTCAAAACTATTATTTTCTGTGGGAAAAACAACATCCCACTCAGGGGCGGAGAGATGATGATCCCACTAATGCTGCCCTAACCGGTAATTTCCAGGCATTGCTAGAATTCCGGGTAGACAGTGGTGACCAAACACTGCAGCAACACCTGGACACTGCACCCAGAAATGCCACATACATTTCAAAGACCATTCAGAATGAAATGATAGAAACTGTTGGTGCTTACATTTTGAATGATCTATCACAGGAAATAAGAAATAGTAAGTATTTTTCAGTTATGGCAGATGAAGCTGCTGATATTTCAAATAAGGAGAATGTTTCTGTAGTAATAAGATTTCTGGATACAACTAAAACCATCCGAGAAGAATTTATTGGGTATTACATTTGTGAGGAGGGATTAACAGGGGAGGCTATCAAGGACATTATAACTGCAGCTGTAGCAAACTTAGGATTGACAATGGAAGACTGTCGTGGGCAGTGTTATGATGGTGCAGGCAATATGGCTGGAAGACTAAATGGAGCCTCCTCATTGATCAGTGCAGAACACGAAAAGGCAATCTATGTCCACTGCATGAACCACAGGCTTAATTTGTGCATAGCAGACACTTGCCAATTGCCAATTGTCAGGAAAATGATGGATATTGTGCACAAGATTTCTAATTTTTTTAACAACTCTCCCAAGCGTCAACAACATTTAATAGCCAAGATCAGAGAACTATTGCCTCGGGCAAACCATACTGTTTTAATTGATGTGTGCCGCACACGATGGATTGAACGGATTGATGGAATGGACCGCATAGTTGAACTTCTCTACCCAGTCACAGCTACACTTGAAGACATCTCACTTAACAGAAACAGCCCTGGAGACTCAACCTGGAATCCAACGAGCAGACATGATGCTCAGTCCTTAATTAATGCAATCAACTTTTCCTTTATTGTTTTTCTTGTTATTGTCAGACATATTTTGGGATTAACTAGACCACTCACAGTGAAGCTGCAACAAAAAGCAATGGATCTTCTAAAAGCTAAAGATGAACTTGCTCTTTTGAAATCAGTCCTTGAAGACATGAGCACTGACATTGATAACAGACATCATAATCTCTACCAGGAAGCAGTGACCATTGCAAGACAAGTAGCAGTCCAGCCAGAAATGCCAAGGACAGCCCAGAGACAAATGCATAGAAATAATGCTCCTGCTGCAACTCCAGAGGGGTATTTCAAGATCAATCTCACGAGAGTTTTTCTTGACCATGTACTCCAGCAGCTCAACACCAGATTCCAGGATGATGTATTTGTTTGCTATAAAAGTATTTCGATTATTCCCTCTGTTTTACTAGCTACTGACCCTGCCTGGAAGGCCAATGTTTTGGAATTTTGTAACCATTACAGACAGGACATACCAAATTATGCAGGATTACAGGCAGAGCTTTTGTTATGGGAGAGATTGTGGAAGGGGAGGGATAACAGAGGAGATATTATTCCTGACAGTTTGGAGGCTACACTGAAGGATATTGACAAAGATGCATATGTCAACATCTATTCCATGCTGAAAGTCCTGATCACAATTCCAATTTCATCTGCATCTTGTGAGAGATCCATATCATCCCTTCGGAATCTTAAGAACTATTTGAGAAATACAATGACCCAGGACAGACTGAATGGATTGGCACTGATGCATGCCCACAGAGACATGGATTTTGACCTTGAATGTATAATAGATTTATTTGCTGAGTTACATCCTAGGAGAATGAGAATGGCAAACATTTTGTAATAATTTTTTGCACCAGCTGTTTCCAGAGTACTTGTGAGTTATGTTCTGTCTGGGTTATGGCCTTTAAGTCTCATAATCCTTAAACTGATGGAGAACAGTACAGAAGCTCAAACTGGTGCCTGTATAACTTTTTTTTTCAACTCATTTCAAGGTTATTTTCTATTTTGTTTTACTTGTGATGATTTTCCATTGACATTGACATTGGGTTTTCATGTTAAGCTTAAATGGTTAACAAACATTTTCACTGAACTCAACCAGCTTCACAGCAATTCCCAAGGATGAAGAAAGGCTAGTATTATTTCAAATTATCATTTTACTTCAATTTGTATATCATTTTATGATTCTTATAATTTATATTTTTCTAATAATTGTTTTATTTTTTGAATTCCAGCTCCCAACACAGGCTAACCATCCATAAAGCCCTTCTCTCTCTCTCAAATTCTTTTCTGTGTTGTGCTCCTATAAATGAAATGAATAAAAGCCAGCTCAGGAAATGTTGTTTTTAGTGTTGCTAAACATTTGGATTTATTGAGCCTGGCTTTCATTCATTATAGGAGCACAACACAGAAGAAATTTGAGAGAGAGAAGGGCTTTATGGATGGTAAGCCTGTGGTCCCAAGGATGAAAAAGGCAAGTAGATTTTTATTATCAATCTTTAAACTATATCATCAATTGTGCTTGTTTTTCTTTTGTTATCAAAAACACTAACACTTGGTTCGTTTTTTTTTCTCCACATCTTGATTTTCCTGACTGGGAGGTGATGTTTTCCAGTGTGAAAAGTCTTGGTGATGACTTGGCCTTCCTGAAAACACTATATACACTGGTTTGCACAGTAGCTAAAGGTGGAATATTTGTAGATCAGAGTGTTTCCTGTAGTACTTTCAAGAAAAATAAATGTTTTTGCCTTTTTGATTACATGCTTTTTTAGTCTTTTGGGGGCAATTAAATTTTCTAAAAATGCATGAAATGGCCTTTAGAGAGCTCCAAATTTCAAATTTTCTCGGGGGGGCATGCCCCCGAACCCCCCTAGCAGGAGTGGGTCCTCGGGTGGAAACTACTCACTCAAAATCCTGGATCCACCCCTGGAGTTCATTTTGTTGGTGAACGGCTGTCTTACGAATCTCCTAATCTTAAAAGTGCTATAGATTAACCTGATTTAGTTAAAGCCAAGTTAAGTAGGGAATGCGCGGCTGGGAGAATTGTTGGTCCTTTTACAACCCCACCCTTTCCTAATTTTCGTACATCCCCTTTAGGCATTGTACCCAAAAAAAATCCGTCCGAATGTCGTCTCATTCATCACTTATCTTACCCCGAGGGTGCTTCGATCAACGACTTCATTCCTGACATTTACTCCACAGTGAAATATGCGTCTGTCGGTGATGCATCCAAGTCGATTAAGCGATTAGGGCGGGGTTGTTTCATGGCCAAAACAGATGTTAAGTCTGCATTTCGCATAATTCCTATTCAGCCTGCTGATTATTCCCTGTTAGGGACTTGTCAGAAATTAGCAGGGGGGGATGGGGGGGTGGGAATTTTAAATTTGGCTTCGGAAATTAGGTGACCCATCCCTGCAATGGGAGTGAAATTTGCTAACCCTCCCCTTGTTCTCCACGTGGGAACAAATGATCTGAAAACTTCATCCTCTGCTCGGAATGTGGCGGAGAAAATTGTTGACCTGGGGAATATAATTGCTACAAACTCTCCAAACACTAGTGTAACCATTTCTGCAATCACACAAAGATCAGATGAAGAATCGCTCAAGATCAAAGTAAAGGACTGCAACAAAGTTTTAAGAACATTTTGTAATCAGAATGGTTGGGGCTTTGTCGAACACTTGAACATCGACGAAACATGTCTGAACAATTACAAACTCCACCTTAACAAGAAAGGTATTGCTATTTTAGCGAGTAATTTTGTAAATAATATAGTTCATTGATATGATTCTTACTTGACTACTGTGGCGACAGCTAACCTCACTGCCACCTCTAGCGCCCGGATCAAGTCAACTCTAATGCCGAAGTGTCGTGGATTTAAAATGGCTAGTTTGAATGTCACCAGTCTTTTGAAACATATTGACGAACTTCGCGTTTTTCTAAATGATCAAAACATCAACGTTCTAGCCATAAATGAGACCAGGCTAAATGATAGTATTTTTGACCAGGAGATAAAAGTCCAGGGTTATGATATAATACGCCGTGACGGGTCAACAAATGGCAGGTTTGGTGGTGGCATATGCTTTTACATTCGTTCAAACATAAGCTATTCTGTACGCACAGATTTGGACAGTGAGCTCCTGGAAGTAATATCAATTGAAATTCGTAAACACAACTCAAAACCGTTTGTTATTACTTCATGGTACAGACCCCCAAATTCACTCCATGAACTTTTCACGCACATCAACACATTATTAGGCAAATTAGATTCTGAAAACGTGGAACATTTTCTCATGGGGGATCTAAATTGTGACTTGCAATCCAAAGACGATGGAAATGTAAGAACTCTTCTGAACATAACAGACATTTATGGATTGGAACAACTCATTAACGAACCTACTCGAATTACACCTTCTACAAGTACTTTAATTGATCTGATTTTCACAAATCGGCCAGAGAATGTGTATCGTGTCTCATGTCGCCATAAGTGACCACAGTTTAGTTTATGCGTATCGAAAAATTTCAATTCCGACTTTCTCCAAAGGAGTTAACTTGATAACATATAGACAGTTTAAACATTTTAATAGCGCAGATTTTTACACGGACATTCTAGCTCAACCTTGGGATGAAATAAAGCAACTATATGATCCTAATGATATGTGGAGGAGGTGGAAAGAATTATTCCTGAATGTATGTGAAAAGCACGCACCAACGAAGACCAAACGGACACGAGATTCTAAATCCCCATGGATAACCGCTATTCTGAAAAAGCGGATGAATTTCAGAGACCGCCTCAAAAGAAAGGCTATTAAGACAAAGGATCCAGTTATTTGGGACCAATTTCGAATAGTTAAAAATCAAGTTAACGGGGAAATTAATAGTGCGAAAAAAGCTTATTATGAAAATGCCTTCAACAATTGTTGTGGAGATCAAAGGAAAACATGGAAAACAATCAATGAACTGACCTCACGAAAGTCCACTAAAACTGTTATTAATGAGATGGAATATAATGGGGTAAATTCTAGAGATCAAACGGATATAGCAGAAATGCTAAACTCCTTTTTCAAAGAAATTGGGCCAGGCCTTAGTAGAGACGTGTCAGAAGTTGATAAATCCTTCGAAGAATTTCTTATTGAAACTGATAAAAATTTTGTTTTTGAAAAAACAACACCAACACATGTCTTTGCACTACTATCAAAGCTTTGCAAGTCAAAGGCATCTGGATTAGATAATATCTCAGCAAAACTTCTAAGGGAACGTCCTGATGTTCTAGCGGAATCTCTTACTCATCTATTCAATCAATCCATAATGACTGGCATCTTTCCCGATGAGTGGAAATCTGCCAGTCACTCCATTGTATAAAAATACTGGGAAGCGCTCTGATCCGACTAATTATCGACCAATATCAATAATTCCAGTTGTGGCCAAAGTCTTTGAACGGATAATTTACGATCAGCTTTATCGTTATTTAACTAACAACAACTTTCTCTCGTGCCATCAATCTGGTTTTCGGTCTTTGCATTCCACGCTCACAGCACTTATCGAAGCTACAGATAGTTGGGCAATGGATATAGACCGTGGTCTTGTTAATGCCGTAGTGTTTTTAGACCTCAAAAAGGCATTTGATACAGTAGATCACGATATTTTGCTACGAAAATTGCAATACTATGGGATTTGTTGGATCAGTCATCAATGGTTTGCTTCTTATTTAGATAATCGAACACAGATTTGCCATGTAAATTCTTGTAAGTCAACTCCGAAATATCTAAGATGTGGTGTTCCCCAGGGAACAATTTTGGGACCCCTTCTGTTTTTAATATATATTAATGACTTACCACATTGTCTGACATATTCGGAACCCAGAATGTACGCAGATGATACCAGCCTGACGCTTGCCAGTACTGACTTTGATCATATAAATTATTGCCTTAATTACGACCTGAGTAATGTGTACGAATGGCTGAGTGCTAACAAGCTTACCCTAAATATGACAAAACTGAGTTTATGCTTATTGCATCAAGGCAGAAGTTATCACAATTTACGGAAAGTCCTTCTCTTACTATAAACGAAATCGCAATAGAACAAGTAACCTCCGCTAAGTCCCTTGGAGTTTATGTCGATCAAAATATCAACTGGGAGTGTCATATTGAAAACATCTCTAAGAAGATAGCTTGTGCCATTGGTGCAATTAAACGAATTTGGCATCTCACTCCATTTAATGTTCTAATTAAAGTTTATAATAGCCTTGTTCAACCACATTTTGATTATTGTAATGTAGTGTGGGGAAACTGTAACAAGGGCCTTTCTGAAAAACTGCAAAGGCTTCAAAATCGGGCAGCTCGCATCCTAATGTCTGCGAGCTATGATAGTAATTTAGATGATTTGTTCCGGGCACTAGGGTGGCGAAGACTCTACTATCAAAGATTGGAACAAAAATCTATCTTAATGTATAAAACTTTACATGGTATGACACCAGATTATGTGAGATCAAGATTTGTATATCGTGACAATATAAGTGCTTATCGTCTAAGGAATACGGAAAACAAATTAGTTCTTCCACAACCTCGAACTGATTATCTTAAGAAGTTTTTTGTACAGCGGAGCTCACTTGTGGAACGACTTACCCTTAGACCTAAGACAAGCGTCTTCACTGACCGATTTCAAACCTAAATTAAGTTGCCACAGTTTAAAGTAATATCTTAATTTTAAGTAAATTTTAGATACAGCCTCCATGAAAAGCAGATTTTTTATTTGTTTCTTTTATTTGAATTGTTATTATTAGATTTTATTATAGTTAGGAAGATAGATATACCTTTATAGATAATTAACAACTGATGGAAATACCGTGTATAAATAAAGTTCTATTCCGTTACCGCACTGAGGGCTCACGTGAGATAGCATTGCGCCTGCGCGAACTCAGTGTGTTGCCGCCTTTGGAGCGAATGGACGTTTGTTTTTTCAACGCGCTGAGAATTTTAGTTTTAAGCGATAATTCGAAAAAAATGCCCGAGACCTCGGATAAATCTGAGCTTAAGGGCGAGAAAGACAACTTAAAAAGGAAAAGTAGTGGCTCTAGAGGCGAACACATTGAAGCAAATGTTAGAATCATCGAAAGAGGGGAAGGCGCCTATGGCGCCAAAACTGACTCACATGGTTTACAAGAGCTGGCCACTATGCTGAGACAGGGCTTCACCCAGATGTCTCAAGATTTATCCAAGACTATTGTTGGGTTGTTCAAACAGTTTCAGTCAGACTTTGAAATACAATATGTTGACACGGAGGAAGAACAGGAGGCAAAATCTGCCGAGAATGACCACGAGGTCAGCGAAGAGCCCCCCACGAAGAAGAAAACTACGAGCTTAGAAGAAGCTGTGACAAAGCTGGCTGACTCAACCGGGGCTCAAAATATGCCTTCTAATGAAGGAAAATTTGAGGTACTTAACAGCTTGAAACAAGAGCTGAAGAAAGAGGAGACGGGCCCAAGTGTAAACACAGAGCTGGCAAATGTAGTGAATGCCATGCTCAAAGAAGGGCTGCCTGAAGAGAAACTTCAGGAAAAGTTGAACAAGTATCACAGACCAGAGAACTGTGAATTCTTGACAAAAGTACGAGTCAATCAACCAGTATGGGACCACCTTACTCCAACAGTCCGGTCCCAAGATGTTAGACTGCAAAAGGTGCAGACATCCATCTTCAAAGGAATGTGCGCGTTGACAAATATGATCGACAAACTCCTTGAGCACTTGTCGTCACTCCCAGCGGGAAACAACCTTCTTCAAAAGTCAACAGATGCACTTACATTGTTCGCTAATGCAAACAGTGAACTCAATCAAAGACGAAGGGAATGTATTAAACCGGATTTACACAAGGAATACAAACATCTTTGCTCCTCGTCGGTTCCGATCACTGACCAATTGTTTGGCAATGATCTCCCGAAACAAGTGAAAGAATTGACCGAGGTCAATCGAGTGGGAAAGAAAGTCTCCACACACAGTGGTCGATCAACGAACAAGCCTGATTATCACAGGCACAACTCTTACACACATAGCCGCGGACGCTCAGGAAACCAACATTACAGGAAGCCTTTTTTAGGCTCGTGGAAAAACGACCACAAACATCCTCCGAACTTCAAGAGGAAGAAGGAGGGGAAGTCAAAATGAATCAGACTGCTAACAACGTTGAGGTAAGAAAGGTGTCAGAGCAACCTATTAAAATTACAGGTGGAAGACTGAAACAATTTACCTCTCAGTGGCAATGCATAACCTCAGATCCTTTCATACTTAATAGTGTGAAAAATTATAAAATTGAGTTTGAAAATGGAGAGCCAATGCAGTTTATGCCACCAAAAGAAATAAATTTTACAAAACCAGAGCAGGAGGTCATTGACAATGAAATTGATAAACTGCTGACCAAAGGTGTGATTTCAGAAACCACACATTGCCCTGGTGAATATATTTCTACTATATTCATACGCCCTAAGAAAGATGGAGGGTTTAGATTAATTCTAAATTTGAAGAATTTGAATGAACATGTGGAGTATCAACATTTTAAGATGGATACCTTACAATCGGCAATAAGGCTTATGACTCCAAACTGTTATATGGCCTCAGTAGACCTGCGTGACGCATACTACTCAGTGCCAATTCACAAAGATGATCAAAAATATCTGAGGTTTTGCTGGAAAGGTAGATTGTTTCAGTTTACATGTCTACCAAATGGTCTGGCTTGTGCACCCCGACTCTTCACAAAAATCCTTCAGCCAGTGTATGCTACGCTGCGCCAGAAGGGTCACCTAAATGTAGGCTATATTGATGACTCTTATTTACAAGGGGAGAGCGTGGAGGACTGCCAAGCCAATATTAATGATACCTGTGACTTATTTTCAACATTGGGTTTTATCCTACATCCTGATAAGTCGGTCTTACAGCCAGTTCAAGTCCTTACATTTCTGGGATTTGTCTTGGATTCAGTTAATATGACTGTCTCCTTAACACAGGAAAAAAAATCCAGCGCATAAGGGAAAGATGCAAGAAAATGATGGAGCTTGTTGAGCTCCCAATCCAGGAACTAGCTAGCTTTATAGGGCTTTTAGTGTCAAGTTTTCCTGGAATCTTATATGGACCACTGTATTATAGACAACTTGAGAGGGATAAAACTACAGCCTTAAGACAAAACTATGGCAATTATAATGCTCAAATGAGATTATCCCAAGAAAGCTTTTCAGAGATAAAGTGGTGGTATGATAACATACAGACAAATAACTACCCCATATTATTGCCTAATTCAAAGGTTGATGTAATAATTTACACCGATGCATCAACTAAAGGATGGGGAGCTGTCAAAGAGACAGAGAAAATAGGGGGTAGATGGTCAGAGGAAGAAGCAAAATATCACATTAATTGTCTGGAGCTGTTAGCTGCAATTTTTGGACTTAAGGCATTTTGCAAAAATGAGCAAGGCATTCACGTTAAGATTTACTCTGATAACTCTACAACTGTGAACTATATTAATGCTATGGGAGGTGTACATTCTAGGGAATGTCACACTATTGCTAAAGATATTTGGCAGTGGTGCATAGAAAAACAAATATGGTTAACAGCTGCTCACATCCCAGGGACCAAAAATGTTGAGGCAGATCGGGAATCACGCGTTTTCTCAGACAACAAGGAATGG